GCCACCGCTGCTCTGGAAGGTGCCACACAAGTGATCCGAAAACAGGTCCGGGAAGTCCCCTGCCTGGTTACTGACGAACTGCAGCATCTCTGTAAAACAGAAGAGAAGGCATTCAATGTTACTTTATTTCCCAGACCTCAGGTCAAGACATGAATGATGGTGTGCGTGCACAGAGGGGAGGCTCCGGGTCCTTCAAAACCTTCAGAGAACGTTATCACACCAACCTACCACCTCCAGAGAGAAACCAAGAGGTGGCCAGCAGCTGGGCACTGCTGCTGCTGTTCAGGGGGGGAGACAGGACTTCCCTACACTACTTTACCAAACTACAAGACCCAAACCAAGACTAGAACTTAAAGCCATCTCCGACACATTTCAAATCAGAGTCTCATTCCATCACTACGCCAATCTAATTCTTGCAGAAGGAAGAAAACAAGCACCGCCATAATTCCAGCACTAACTATTCTCCCACCCAATTTTAGGGTGTTTTCAAGCCCCCTATCCCTCCTGGGGGCTTTGCCCATTGAGTATCTGGAAAATAAAGAAACTGAGAATAAGTTCCTGAAAGAAATAAGAAAATGAGAATTCATCTTAAATTTGCTTTACTTTCAAGCATACCAGAAATTGGAGGAAAAAAAACCTAAAGAAAACAACGCTTTGTAAAACTGTAGCAGGAAAAATCCACGTATGTGTTTAAACCACCACAATAACTTTTTTTTTGTTGGGTTTTTTTCCCCCCTGTTTATCCCCTGCCTGCAATCACTGCACAGCAATTTCTCTCCATCCCACCTTCTCCAAGATTTTATCAGCCCACATCAAGAGGCTCCTACCGCAACGCTATAGCTCTCCCCCACAGAGGAAAAAATTTCACAACCAAGAGATCATTGTTCATAAGCAAAGCTTCCTCTTCCTTCTATCTCATCCTGTTTAATCCAATTATGCATCTTAAGCTACCTGAGAGCTTCCCCTAATCTGTGTGCGGGTGGTGGCATAAGGTGTCAGACATCCTTCCCCAACCCAGGATCTGCCCATGCTACACTGGCTCTTCCATGGTTTTCTTAAAGTCTTATTGATTTATTTTTTCTGGAAGCAGGAAGAAAAAGGGTGCAGATCCACAAACGTAACAGAGGGTTTATAACTAAATAATAAAATTGGGTTCCGAAAGTAGAAAATAGATTTCTGATTCATAGGAAAAACATTGCAAAGGGCTCCTTACACCAGGAGCTCTCTCATCCACAAACCTGAAGGATGTTGCTGCTGTGGTTTAATGAAGGGGATTCAAAGAAGGAAACTTTTCACGAAATGTTTCCATGGAAATTGTCCCAGCAATAAAAGGGCTATTAATCTGCCTCTCCGGAATGCCACCCACACACTATCTAATTAATTTGTCTGACACTCCCGAGACAGAGCAAAGGGATCATCCTCCAAGCTTATTGCTCCCTTCACAAATGTTTCACCATATTTCTATGATATTTCTGTGATACTGCTCCTCCTCCACGAGCAATCTTCCCAACACTCTTACATGTATTTAAGTGCTGACCATGACCACTGCTCTTAAGAACTTGAGTCTGTTGGACGGAGGAGCCTGGGAGGAGATGCATGTCCTCCTGACCTATGTATAACCCAACACTAAGCAGGCACAAGAGGTGCCCCCACCAAGGAGCAGCCAGACCAAACCTTTGTCTCTGCTTTTAATTAGATGAATGAAAGATATATATATATATTATGCAATGCCTCAGTAAACTTTCACAAAACATTACTGGAGCAAGGAGGGCTGTTCAAAGATTAACACTTCTGCATAACCTCTAGATAGATATTAAGCAGCTTTTCACCCTCCAACCCACTGCAGCTACGACTATCCCAAATGACCCCCAACACGATAAACTCGGTAATTCCAACTATGCACTTCTCAAGCTCTTCATTTGATGGGACTGCTATTTCACTACGGCAAGTGAGGAGTAAACATAAATCGGATGAGATTCGCTCTGGAAGAGCAAATTCCAGTGTAAGAGCCAAATTTCAAGTACTCTGTTTTAAAGAACATTGCGTTCGACACAGCACTTATTGAAAAAAACTACTCTTACTCTCACCAGTTGAGCCGCATCTTTATCACAGAGTTAGCTTTGACTAAATGCAAAAAGTCTAAAGAATTAGATCAAACCCGCCTCTTCTGAAGTGCCCAAGAGCCTTCCTAGGAGCAAGACAAGAAAAATAAAAAGCAGGAGAAACAGCAGCATCCAAAATCCAAATCTCTGTCTTTCAAAACACCTGCACCTACGCAGAGAACAGAGCGAGAGCCTACACTGACTGGTAGAAAGCTCAGGTGCTTTTGGAGGACAGCACCTGGTGACAAACTCATTGTGGCTGGACCACCTGCACCCTGGGTGCCGAAGAGGCCTCAGCCCCTAATGCCAGGGGAGATGTTGCTGCAGAAAACTCTCCCAGCCCAGCTCAAGGCTAAAAAATGTCAACAAGGAGTTACAAAACCGAGCCCACCGAGGACTTCTGCTGCTCCTGTCAGCCCAGCACCCAAACACCTGGCAGAAAGGCAAGGGCTGGGCTTTAGCCACCTCTCCCAGGCGATGGCCCAGAGCCTACACACCGGCTGCTTTGAGAAACACAAAGTGGCTGAGATCCCAATCTTGACAGAAACAGCCCCTCTGCCCTGAGCCCAGACATGCTTTGCACCCATGACCGACTCGGACCTCGCTCTCTGACCTTGCCCTCCCAGCAGCGAGGTGCCGGTGGCTGGCCAAGGAGCTTGTGCCAGGGCAGGAGGCAGAGCCAGAGATGCCTTCAGCTCAGCATCAAGACTCCTGGACCAGCCTCACACCCCATCCGACATCCCAAAGCAGCTGGTGCATGCTCCACCACGGAAAGTCAAACGCTGTGTGGGAGGCTCTGACGGTCCCTCAGCCACACCTGGAGAGGAACGCCGAGACCCACCTCCAAGGAGCCTTAAAACCCAAAACAAAACCTGTGCAGAACTTCAAACCCTGAGATGAATCCATGATGGAGCACACACACAAAAAAAAAAAAAGCACTATCGTCATAGACCTCCCCCACCAGCAGGAAAATCCACCCTGGAAGCTGGGGAGGAAGGCGAAGCTCTTTCCCCCGAGTTACTCATCGCTCTGAATCACACCTCCCCGGGCACACCTCGGTTCAGAGCCAGCTCCGGCTCCACCGGCATCTGTCCCCCTTTCCACGTGGATCCCCACAAGTGGTTACGTGGTGCTTGAACACGAGCAAACACCAGGTGCCTGAACACGAGCAAACACCTCCGTCGCTTTGCACCGGCAACTTTATGAGTGATAGCTCAGGCCCTTACCTTCTCATCAGGTATAGTCTTCTTTTACGTATGATAAGGGGGAAAAAAAAATATAATAATAAAAAAAGAGGTATAAATTTCACCCCTACCTACACTACAAACTAATTGCAATTAGAAACCTAGAAGCAGCAGTTTAATTTTATCTCCTAACTGCTAAACAAGGATGCTTCAGGCACCACCCCCCCCAAAGCCGAGCTGTGTTTGGGATTACAGGCGGGGAGCCCAGCCAGGTCCCCGTCCCCAGCCCACGGGGGGGAAACTCATGGAGAAATGACATTTTTAATGGGTTTCCAGCAGCTGTTTGGGGAGCGCTCAACAAGGCATCGCGTGCGGGCGCTTCCTCTTCCAGCCCTTTGGTGGAAAATGGGGATTTTTTTTTTTTTTCTCGTGGGCCTGAGCTGTGGTGTGGAATGTAGTGGAGTTTTAGGATGACGTAAGGGGGTTTAAAAAAAAAAAAAATAAGGGAAATCTAAGCAGTTACACCTGGTTTGGTGAAAGAGGGCGGGGAGGCACGGCCTCTTCCCACAGACACGAGTGGCAGCACGGCTCCTTTATCACCGACCTTAGGAGAGCCACGAGAAAACATGCGGGGAACCCCGGGCAGCGCCGTCTGCCCCGCGGGTGGGAGGCAGGAGGCCTCCAACCCTCCCCCGTGCCGGCAGCGGCCACGCGTGGGAGGAAGGGCTCGGACCCCCACATCCCCACGCGGCTTTTTGCGGTAACCGCCTCGACGCCCCCCCAGGCGCGGGTCAGGCCCACGGAAGCCGCCCAAAAGCGCTCCACAGGCAGAGCTAGCCATCGAGAGACACGCGTGGCCGCTGCCCGCACCCCCCCCCGGGACGGGGGGGGGGAAGAGGGGGATTCCCCATTCACTCCCTACGGGGGCTGAAACCCCTCACCGCGTGGGAAACGCGCCCCACGCCGCGGGGCCAAGCCGGTGGGGCCACCCTGAGCTCCCACTCGGGGCGGGGGTCCCGACACGCCGCGCAGCAGGACCCAAGAACCACCCCACCCACGCACCGTACCCTCCTCCCCACCACCCCGAGCAGCCCCAGACCCCA